TCCAATGAATTGCAAAGGCACAAGAAACACAAAAGACCCAGTTAAAATGAACAATATTGTTTCAATGCAAGACTAGATTTTTTTTTACGTTATATGTGTTTGGATAAGTCCAGTTTACACCTAAGAACTGCTGAATGATTTTGCTAAGCTTTCCAAATAACTTGGAAACTGGTTGCGAGCAGTTGATCGCTAGACTTCAGCACTCCCTTTGCTTGAATACTGGAATACAATAAATACTATTGAATAGTTGAATACTATTGTGTTCCCAGTTTCACCGCTCACTTGAGGCTTCCATTCAGCTATAGCTGCATTGTAAGGCTGAATAGGGACACAGATTTTACTGCTCAGACTTCTGGTTGAGTGTTGCTGCCATTACAAAACAACAGTTGCAGGAAATGGGCATGTCTAAGGCTAGTGAAAAGAAGGGATGACATGATAGCAATGCTGCAATGTTTGAGGGGCTGCCACAAAGAAGGGGGGTGGGTGGGGCAACCTCTTTTCCAAAGCACCAGAAGGCAAGACAAAGAAATGGTGGGTAGAAATTAATTGAGGAGAGAAGCAACCTGGAACTTCCTAACAGAACAATTAACCAGTGGAACAGCTGAAGTTGTGGGTGCTCCATCACTGGAGGCTTTTAAGAAGAAGAGACTGGACAGCCACTTGTCTGAAATGGTATAGGACCGTGAAGGTGGCACACAAAGCCCTCTCTGTGGGCACGCAGCTTTATCAGCTGCTCTTCTGGCTGGAAAATGGCCCCCCAAAGCCCAAAACACAGCCTGTAAATGGCCGAAAAATGGCCCCCAAAACAGGCATATATGTACCAGCCAACTGATTGTCATATTTCCGGTGCTCTGGCGTGTGCAAAGACTAGCTGGCCAGCGCACATGCGTGTGCCGGAAACCCAAAAGCCAGCTGGCCAGCACACATGTGCGCTGGCTAGCTGGTTTTCGGAGTTCTGCTGCTCCAGTGCATGCAAAAGTGCACGCATGCACGCACATTCCAGTTTGAGCACTCGGTGCCCCAAAGATTTGCCATCACTAGTATGAGGTCTCCTACTTCAGCAGGGGGTTGAACTAGAAGATCTCCAAGATCCCTTCCAACTCTGATATTCTGTTATTGGCCAGAATTCCTGCCATGAAGTACGGGTAGTCCTTGATTTACCATGACCGAGAGAGGCAGTTGTTAAGTGAGTTATCCCTCATTTTATGTCTTTTATGTCAAGGGAATCATGCAGTCATTAAGCCAATCTTTGTCCTCATTGACTTGGCTTGTCAGAAGCCATTTGGGAAGATTACAACTGGCCATCACATGTCCCCAGGCTTGCCAACTGGCTACTTGCCAGTTGGCAAGTAGCCAAATTTTGATCATGACCATGGGGATGCGGCAATGGTTCTAAGTGTGAAAACTGGTCATATGTCACTTTTTAAAGTATTGTAACCTTCGAACGGTCCACTAAACGAAT